AAGAACATAATAGGTTTAAAATTGTAGACTTCGTGAGTTAGACAAAACAATTCTACATTATCTTTAAAAATATAGGAAATTGAAAATTATATCCTATTCTAGCTGATAAAATTAATAAAGTACACATGCGAAAATTGATTGCTAAAATCTCGAAACGGGATATTTTTCAAGATTTTATAAATAATGTTTTTAGTTTGTCCATTGTAAATATGCCAAAAAATGTATCACTTTGGGAGTTAAATAGCAGCTAAGAATGTAACATTTTGGGAGATAGATAGCTGCCAAAAATGTATCAATTGGAATGAAGAGGCCAAGGGCGACCAATAATTCCAAAAAAGACGTTTTTGAGTATTGTTTAATAAAAAGATACTCTATATAGAGTAGTTATTTTAAATATTTAATTTTTTTAATCAAATATTCTTAAAACAAGATAAAATAATTTAAGATCAAGCAAGATCTGCTCAAAAAATGCTATAATTTTAAATTTTTATATATATTTCAAATAGAAAACATAATTCTGTTTTAGAACTTCCAGGACTGATTACCATTAATTCTCTTTGAATTCATTTCACATTATTCTTCATATTAATCTATTTAGTTTCGGTTTCCGAACCTTTTTTTTTGATCGATTGCAAAAAGAGCATTTTTATTTTTAAAAAGAAGAATATTTTATTATTCTTTATGCGTATATGATTAATATAATATTTTTTTTTTATCTCTTTGTAAAAATTCATCTTTTTTTGGAATATTTATAATTTTATAATTGACTTCCTCTATTATTTTATTTTACCACATTTCATAGATTTATAAAACGAAACTCTTATAGATTGCAATGAGACGTATATGTAGTAAAGGGATTTGCCATCTATGGGGATTGAGAATCTCTCAATTCTTTAATCATTATTAACATGGCCGTGCTAAGACTTTTAGCGGTCCGAGATAAATTTGTAAAAGCCTAATTACTGAAGGTTATTTTAAAATATTAAAAAAAATCTGAAATGTATTCTAGCAAATAATTTTAGGCCCGGCTTGGGTATATTTAAAAAAGGAAAATATGGCCCGGCTCTTATACCGGGCCGGGTCTGCAGGTCTCTAGATTTTTCATATATATTATAAAATGCAAAAATATTCATGACAAAATAGTTAGAAATTTACGCGAACTCTATACATGCCATAATTCAAATTTAAAAATAGCACTCAGATATTAAGAATAAGATATTCCGATTCCCCATAGGTTTGATATATCATTACTACAAATATATGATCATCATTTTTATTGGTTGAATCCGTATCACTTCATGTTCCCGATCCTACATAACTCTTGATAGCCGGCCTTGACAATTTGAAATTATATAAAACATAGCCTTATATTTGATAATGTTATAATAAAATATTATTAATTTAAATATAATTCAGGGATATACAAACAAAGTTTCTTTTTAGAAAAAGCTATAACTATCTAAAATTAAATTCGCCACACTCGAATTGAATAATAGTTTTTTTAATTATAACAACAAAGTAACCTATTTTAAAAATTAAACAAACGAACAAGTTTACATAATTTAAGAAAGGAAAGAATTTTGGTTAATTTTCGAACCAAAGATAGAATCCGTAACGAATATCGGTTCGGTTCGGGGTTCGTAAAAACAATAATATCGGTTCGGTTTGAACCCTTAAGAACAGGTTCATACCTTTTCGCATAGAAACATTTTAGAAATATGTTTAAAAAATTTTTTTAAATTTTTTTGTACCTAATTCTCTAAAAAATATTATTTAGCCAATTAAAATATTTTTATAATTGACTTGTGTCAAATTATGTCTATAAGGAGGAAGAATAAATTTTATGACTGAGGACACTTCTATATGATAACTTGGAAGGTGGGTCAAATAGCAATATACAAAAATATCTAAAATATTTAGTAGTCAGAACCAAATTTAAAAGAATTAAAATATTAAAAGGTTCAAACCCGGTTTACGAGTATGTTGAAGGTTGGGTTCAGGATCGGAAGAAAATTTTTTTAATGGTTCAGAAGATAAATAATCATGTTTAATACCGATAAAGGTTCTGTTTGAATCCTTGTAGAACTCATTTAACAAAACCTTAAATTTGGTAAATTCTTCGATCTATCTTATAAGCTTAGGCTTTAGATATAATAATTATCGAGTGAGGAGTGAGAGGGGGATGTATAATATTGCTATGTGATATTATTTGGAATCTTAGAAATATTATATATTTATTCTTTCTTTTTTTATTCATGATTTAATAGCCTAATAATATAAGAATTGATTTTAACAATCATATTTGTTAATTCTTTATTAATTATACAAAGATATAATATTATTAGACTGACCCGACTTGCCCTGATTCTAAGAAAATAATTTAGATTATTAAAAGAGTTAGCTTACATTAAAGTTTATAATGAGGAAAGGTGATAAAATATTTTATGCCCAGCTATATATATTATAAGATCTTATTTTAGATTGAAAATCTAAACTCTACTCTGTTTTTTTTAATAAATTAAAATTAAACGATAAGCTTCTCTGGCTGACTATACGCATTTTCTACCTAGATTTTATATATTTTTTATTAAAGATTTTATAAAAATAAAAAATTTACCTATGAATATCACTAAATTTAAATAATAAATCTTTGAAAGGAAATAAAATTATTAAATCAAATCATCATATATTTAAGGCAAAAAAAATCAATTTTGGTTAAATTTATTTTTAGACAAGATATTTTTTGATTTGAACTTTAAAATAATATTGTATTTCATAATTTTATTTCAATAATTAATTATATCAATTTTTTTTTTTAAAAAAAAGAAGAATATTATTGCACAGTAAAAATTTAGGAAATCATAATGGAATTGAATTTTAATAAAATGTATATTGTTTATAAAAAATTATAAGAAATAATTCATAAATAAATAAAATGTGTAAATACTGGTTAATAAAAATAATTAGAATGTGGTAATGGGATAAGAAAGTCATTAGGATTCGGCTTCTCTCGATTTTAAATCATTTATTGAATGCGATTATTAAATTTGAACAGTGTTGTTAAACTGCTCGATTTAAGTCGATTTTTAAAAACAGCTAACTCATCAATGTAGCCGGAAAAATATTGTTAAGCCTTTGAGATTTCGCTGATACATGTCCAAACCATTGTGCCATCTATGAATAAGATCTTCAGGCTTGCGTAATATTATTCTAGATAAAAGATTAAGTCAGCCGTTTTTAAAAGTCGGCTCAAATCGAGTCCTTTGACAACACTAATTTGTGCATAGGATTTAAATGTTTTGAACATGTGCAGAGTACCCGCACTGCGAATTTCAAATGCTTTTAACGTAAACTTATGAACAACTCTATATATATTTCAAATTTTACAGAGAATCATCATATAAATGAAATAATACACATAAGTTTGAGAAAAAATTGTTTAAAATTCACAGTGTGAGCACTCTCCATAAGTTGAAATACATTTCCGATCAAATCCGAGGGTTAAAATTTAAAAATGGCCTTCAATAAATGATTTAAAATAAAGAGATTCTTGAATCCTTATGAATTCCATATTCCAATGCGACATATTATATATGTAAAAATTTCTCTTTCTTTTCATATGTTTTCATAGTTGGGAATCATATTTCGGTATATATATAAATGTAAGACTAGACCATTAATTATTGATTACGTGGAAGTTGCTTTTATGTAACTTTTCATTCAACCTCTTTGATGCGAAAAATGGCTTTTCAAGTGTGTATGTAGTGATAGAAGATCGCCAATAATAAAACATTTTTAACGTTTATCCTAAGGAGTAAAGGCTGTTAAAATTTTTTTAACACTTTAATGGAATTTTGAGGACGATTTTAAGTTAATAAAACTTAAATATTCAAACCAAAATTGATATTATACTAGTAAATTTTAAAAGTTCACGATCACTATAATATTGGGCACATAGGTTTTAACTATTTTTGTTCTCTGATCTTGATAATAAAAAAAATGAAATGTTTAATTATTATAGAAATGGCCAACAAATTTTGTAATATAAATATAAAGGTAAAAATAGAGTTTTTTTTAAAATTTTTATTAAAACTTTGATTATTGGGTTATTAACAAATAATTTAAAGTATTCCTACTTTTTTGAATAGTAACTTGTAATTTAATTTATAGATTTCTGGAAGAATCAAATAAAATGTTCAAATTTGTGTTGTTGCAGAGGCGTCACTAGCCATTACAATCTCAGGTGGCTCAAAAAATTTTTTAAATTATTTTCAAAATTACCTTTTATTATATAAAATTACCTTCTTTTTTTTTAGCTAACTTACTTTTTTTTTAGTAGTGTAAAAAATTCAAAATTTTGAGGGGGTTATTCAAATTTTTCAGGGTTCTAGCCCCAACGCCTCTTCCCCTCCTATGACGCTACTGTCAATATGTTGAAAGTGATTTAAAATATACCTCATTTAAATCTTGAATTATGAACAGATTTATCGTTTCAAGATAACGGTATACGAGCAATCCCAAATAAATGAATAAAATATTATAACCTAGTAATGTTAACTAATATAAATTGTTCGCAAGGAAAATAAAAAAATGTACATCATTATATAATCCCTAAACTCATTTAATAATTATCCAATATATTTTTATACATTATATTACATCATGTAAACATTTAATTAGGGGGTATCCTGAGAGAGAATCATCTCAGTTTCAAAGCATGCTACAAACCCATTTTCTAATCTGTAAAATTGTAAAAATTGAATAACATTGTGAGTTGTCATTATAATTTATCGAGTTAGTAAACTCTTACCCAAAATTAAATCTTATAGAAATGAAGAAAATAAACAATTAAAACAATGACTTTAATTGCTTTTAGCACTAAATAAGGTTTAACTCACCCTTTATAATCTAAATTTTATAGACTAACCTTAGCTATTAATAAAAAAACAAGCGATGTATTTTTTAAATTTTTTATATTTATTACTAATATAAAATGCTAGATGAACATCTCTTTACCATTAACGGATTCAAATGCAAGCATAAAAGGGCAAAAAGATAATAGCAAACTATCTGATTCTCCCGATGATGGAGAACCCAAGAAAAGGAGTAAGAAAAAAATCAATGTCCCCGAGCAACTACCAATCATGTTGGAACAAATCGCTAAGGCTTCACTGATAAACCAGCCTAAGGATGTTTACACCTTCACGAAGCATTTTTTGGATGTCTACATAGCTAATAGAGAACAAGGGTCATTCTTTACCAATCAGCAGTATTACGGTATAAATCATTATATATTTTTGTTTATGAAAAATGTAATTTCTTTTAAATACAATACTGAATAACTTAAAGGAGTTATTAACTTTTTGATTATATTAGTTTATAAACTACCTTATTTATCAATGATTTCTCAAGAGATCAGAAATTTAAAAGGTTCTCAAAATTTAAAAACTATTAGGGGCAAAACAGAGAACATTCCAAATGGGAACGTTTTTAAGTTAATTATTTTTGTGTATATTTTTATTTTACATTATTATCGTTCTCATTTTACTTTTAAATTAAATATTTGCATTATTTATTATATTATTCATATTTGAATCGATATTGTTGCCATAAAATGGTAAAAACAAAAATATCTTAAAATAACAAAAAAAAGGCCGCTCCCCTGGACAAGTTTTTAATAAGAACCACAGTCTGAACCGTCGTTTATTTAAGGGTCGTGGCCAGGTCTGATATATACATTTTTATAATTGAAAATATACTATGACTGTTTTGGTTATTTCTATTTTCAATAATAATGTTATAAAAGTCACCATGTTTTTGGATCATCTTATTAATTTTATGTTATTAAAATATATGTTCTTATTCGGATGATCAGATTATTGCGTATTCGTAATAACTAATTTATCATGAGTTCCCTTATTAAAAACCTAATAATGTTGTAATTTATAATAAATTATGAATTTTATCCCCGAAATTAAGAAAGTTAAATATATTTTTCTTACATTATAAATAATAATCAAAATAAATCATTTTTAAAAATGGATTCAAGGTCCAAAAATATGGTATAAATTGGAATTTACAAAAATGAATATTTAAATGATTTATAATTTACATTTTGTAAACATAATTTATAAAAAAAAAGATTATGACCGTCGTCCCTTTTGATGTCTTATATTTTAGATTTATGGATATATAAATAAATAGTTATATAGATTTCCACATTTTAATATACAGATAAACATTATATTTCTTATAACTTTAAAAAGGAAAGACCTTCTGTTTGATTCCCACATGATTTTGTAAATATTTTAAATAATGTATTTGTATGTTATAAATATTAAATATAACTAACTTACATAACAGATACATTTATTTTATGTTACAAGACTTTTTGCGACACTTTTTTATAAAACCAATTTTTTCAGGATAGTTGAAAATTTATTTTTTGTAAAAATCGATATTATATATATATATATTTTTTTTAATAAAAGATATGTTTTATAATTTTATTATAAATAATTTTAAAAAAATATCCAAAAAATTTATACTTACATTATTTACATTTAAATACATATTCATTATATTTTAAACACCGCGTGACATTTTAAGATGTACATTTTTTAAAAGATTTTTGTCTAGACTGGACTAGATCTGACGCATTATTTTTAAAATATATTTAAAATGAGTAAGTTAACTTTAATAAAATGTAAATATAAATATGACTAAAATAACTTGTCACTAACTGTGCGATCACTTACCAAATTAACTATTAAGAGTCGTTATAGACTACTAAATAGGATGTGATTTAATTCAGCCTCAAATAAGTACAAAAATATGACAAATTGAATCTAAGGGTCATTATTTAAAAAAATATTACCGAAAATTTGAATGAATAACATATTTTATTCATTTTTGGGGGATAGGGGCTTGGTAAATTTTTTTTAGCTTAAAATGATATTTACGAAAACAATCCTCGCCCCCCCCCCTGTTTACGCCAATATTCGATATTAGCCATTAAATCAAAATTTGAATAAAGTATAAAAAAACCATACTTTTTCCACCTCCATCGCATCAATCTTCTAATATATATTTTAATCGCAAATAAAATAAAATGACTCTGAGTTAATTGAAGTAATGAATTTATAAAATATTAATAATATAAAATATTAATAATATAAAATAAAATATATAAAAGATTAACAACCCTAAACCTAACTAAATAAAAATCAAAGATTCACATAATATAGGGAAAAATTCGCAAAAGTTTTAATGTAATAATCTTATTAAGAAATAAATTCAAAAAGAATTTTATGTAAATCTTTCCAACCCGGCGCCTGAAGGCCTGGCCCATCGGGTCAAGCCAAAAAATTCGGGCTGAATCAGAATGTAAAATATTTGTTGATCTGGACCAGAATTGTGCAAAATATTTTTACAGGTCGGGGTGGGATTTTTTTATTTTGTAAACATAAAAAGAAAAATTTTCATTCAAGCAAAAAATTATTCCGGGCAACATGATAACACTTTTTTATGGGTTAGACTAAAAGAAATATTAAGAGTTAGAACAAAAACAAGCCAGTTTGGGGCGGAATGGGTTGCGTAGATTTCCAAAATAAACATAGATATAGGGTAGACTGGGTCTAATCGAACCGATTTTTACAAATTCTGCTATAGCCCCTGTGTTTTCTTAGATATTATAAAAACAATATATGAATAATTACCTAAAACTATACTCTATAATAGGTACCTTATAAAAAATTTTTACGAATATAATCATATTTTTCATATTTTATTTTTTTTTGTAATAGTGGAAATTTTGTCCAACAAGTCCCAATAATAAAGGCTATATTAATATAAAATTTATACCTTATGGTATATTTAATTTTAAAATGAGATTAAGTGGTTAGCTTATATTCTTGTAAATACATGGATCATTATTATTGAGCTGTTGCTTCTTTTCTTTTTTTGAAAAAAAAACGACTTTTTTGGGAAATGTCATAAGGCTCGCCACCATTTTTGGCAAAATCAATCTTTTTTTTAGGTCTTTAATATTCTACAAGAAAAAGGTTATATTTACATTAAAAGGAAGAAAAAAAAATAGTTTCTATTATATACTATAATTAAGTTTTAGAGTAGACAATTTATTTATAGCATAATTTATCGATTATTCACCATATAATATGTTCCAAAAAACGATATTTTTCGGATTTAGATAGGGATTAAAAAATTTATATATATTCAAAACAAAAAAAAACAAATATTATATTATATAATTTTGAATAACACCATATTAACAACTCGTCAACATGCGATTGATATTAGATTAGTTTAGTAAAAATTACATTTGATATGGTTAATATATTTTTATCAGTTTAAAAAGAATTGTAATTTCATCTTGAAAAATTTTTTATGCGTGAAAATTACAAATGGCATTTTTAGGTGAAATATGTTAAAAAAAGTTTCTTCTTTAAAAAAAAATAAGTTGTTTCCGGTAATTTTTAGAAGAGGTTCTGGCTCTCCTTTCGGTTTTTAATATAATGCGAATGATCCAATTCCAAATTGTTTCAAAATGAGTTACATAATATTTCGAATAATAATAAATTTGTGTTTTTATCAAAAACTGGTTTTGGTTCCTGAAAGTTTAAAATGTTGTTCTGGTTTCCTTTCACGTGAACTCTAAGAAAGGAATTCCTGATTATGGTTCCCTCATATATTTGTCCCGGTTTTAGGGTTGAAATTCGTCCTCAAATAAGCTTTATACGCTTATAAACCCCTTTATAAATTTTTCATTTATAACTGCCCGCTCTAACATTTTCCTTGAAGAATTTTTATGCAGATTATATAATACATATATTTTAATAATAAAAAAAAATCTAGAAATATATGGTTCATTTGCTTAGTTTTGGTATTCATATAAGTCTTTTCGTTCATTCTTAATACACAAGACAGATTTTTTGAATTACTTATGTCCGGAATTTTTTTAAATATATTATATCTATTTTTAATTTTTTTTAGATAATAATTGCGATTTAAATATTCGGTTTTAAAATATATAGCCCGACTCGGGTATGTAAAAAAAATTTATAGACCTGGCCCGCGTACATTAAAAAGAATTAAAATGCGGACCGGGTTTAAGGCTGAACCAGGAGGTCTGTGCTATTTATATTGATATCATATTTCGTAATAAATAGAATAAGGCATCATTAGATTTATCAAAGTTATTGCTGAATATTAATTCAATACATAAAATTTAAATAGACAATGAAATAAAATTTTGAGTTTTAGATTTCTTACCTGTAAATTATTTTAACAAAAATTCGGGCCGTAATAGGCCACGAATCGAAAAATAAATTCTTCTCAGGTGGGCTCGGGCCAATATTAAGAAATGGAATTAAGTTTGCCTCATTATATTGATCAAATATATTTGTTCAAATAGTATCCATCTTAAAACAAGGTTAATTATAATGAATATGGCATTGGGTTATAGAACTTACAAATTTTACTCAAACATTAATATTTTTAAAATCTAACCCAGTGCTCAAATTAATTACTACTGCCTATAAATATGGTCATCTCTGCATACATATCTCTTAAATAAATTGACTACTTTAACCGTATTTATATTTCTTCAACAGAATTAGGCTCTTACTTAAAGAACGATACTATTTTGAGCCCCGTAAGTCAAGAATCAATCATAAATAGATATGTTTTGCCAACTTACACGAGGCATCATGATACGAATTCAGATTTACCCATGACAAGAAGCGTGGAGTCTAGTGTAAATTTTATAATGTATTTTTTAAGCAGTGGGATGATAAATTTTTGTTTCCAGAACTTTTAAGAATAATAAAAATCGGTTCCTTAACTTAAAACATGATTGAGGGAAGTTTTTAAATCCTTCAAAGAATAAACACCTTTAAAAGTTTTCCAAAAAGACAATCTAAGTTCCCAGAATGATAATGGAAAGGTCTTCAGAAGACATTTCTAAGTTAGCAAGTTATATTTTAAGTTAAGTTCATGGTTTCCATTGATATGAGTATTTCTTTTTACTTATAACCAAGATGGACGATTAGAAATAATTATTAATTTTAGTTAGTATTGAAATATAAATTCGCAACTTTTCTTTTACTGGTTGAAATAAATAGGAGATAACGGAGAAGATTATACCTACCAAACTAATATCGCCATCCTTAAGAGAAAAGGGAGAAAGTTTAGATTCTGGTTTAAGTAAATCGCACGATTTTGCAGCTAAAATTGGAGATGATACGCATCAGCCATCTAATCTGGATTCGGAATCCTTTCAGTCTTACTGTAAATCCACACCAACCTTGGATCATTCTTTGGTACTGAATAGATACGGTAATCAAAATATATTAACCACACTAATTATTATATTAAATTAAATGACTAACTTATTTAACATTAAATTGTAAACCTAAATATTTTAAGAGTTTAAAGAATCAGCAAATCTCAATAAAGCACTTGATTCTGAAAAGAGACAACAAGATATGAACATAGATGAATCTCAACTTTGTGACAGTTACAAAGATATACAATGTGAGAATATCATCAATGTCGATAGTGATAAGGGGGATATTAACATGATATTTTCCGACACTTATCCAATGGGTCTTAGTCGGAGAAAATCATCTGGGGGCACTATGGAATCAAATTTTGAAATAAGCTCTGAAAATGGACAAGTATGCTATGTTCCGGAAATAGAGCAACATTTAGATTTGAAAAATTTATCGAGTGAAAGATATTTAAACAAAATACCAAGGTTTAATGGTAATGATCGTTTGTTGTCGCAATTCGGAGAAGATAAAGGTTTATTTGAGATTAAATGAATATATTATAAATATGTCTTTTATATTTAATATTTATGATATAACATAAAATAATTTCATATTAGGTGAATATAAAAATGCGAATGACCAGTCGGGAACCAAGAGTAATATGCCTTTGGTCGAAAATGAAAAGCCCACATATAACAATTACGATAGAAAGTCAATACAAAAGATAGAAAATATGGCAAATCCTTTGGGGCGAGACTCCCTTTCTTTTGAAATATCTCGCTATACTCAAGAAGAATCTTCTAGTGAAGATAGTCAAGGGGAAAACATTCAAAGAGATCTATTAGCTGATGATGTTTCTGCGGACGCTTTCAATCAAGGTTTTACTAAGTATGAAGAAGATGAAACATTTTTTGACGATTCAAAAAAACCATTTACCGAGGAATATATTAGTCTAAATCTAAAATCTGTGAATAAGAGGGATGCCAATTTAACCGGTCATGATATCAAGGTATACATAATGTGAGATTTTTTAACAGTTCATATACATATATAAAATAATCACATTATTCTGTTCTAAATATTGGGCTAAGCAATATTTATTTTTAATTTCTTCAAGTTACCCTCTACAATAGACAGTGTTGATAAACACCGTAGCGTATACCGAAGATTGTCACCCCAATCATCAGAATCGGATAAGAGCGAAACCGCCGAAGAAAATACTACATTTAATACAAAACAAGATACTAAATTTTTATCCGAACAATGCAAATCACCTATGGAATTGTTAGAAAATACCCCGGTTGGATCCCCTACAAAAATGAGGAGTCCTTCAAAGAATAGCGACAAATTTCAAACAGACATATTGCACTCTTCTCGAGATTCCCAATCTCAACACAAGAAAGGAAATTATTTTTTCGATAATTTTGGGTTTAAAGATTCTCTTGATCTTATAGACACAACTAAAGAGATAAATCAAGAATCTATTGACAGAAAAATCAACAATATAGATATTAAAGATAAAGATAATTTTTCAAGATATACAAACGATGAAAATATAGCAGCGACATTAATACAATCCCTTTACAAAGGATATCGAACAAGAAAAGAATTATTTGGCGATAACAAAGGTTTGCCATTAGTATTTTAAATAAAATATGCATTTTTCCTCTAAAATACAACCTTAATATTACAAATTTAATGTAGATAACAATGACAAATATCCTATTGATAATATGAACATAGTGGATAACACTGTTGCAATTGATTCTAACAGAAAAGAAAAAGAAAGCATCTCAGACCAGAGTATGATTGATCAGGCGGCAGCTAGAATCCAGGCTATGATAAAGGGTTATTTAACACGTAAAGATGTTAAAGACTTTCTTACAACTTTGCCAGCAGACGACCATCGTTTTGATATTTTGAAGAAAGATTTATTACAGGATGCATCGGTAAATTATTTATTTATATTATCATTCACTTTTTAGAAAGTTAGGAATTAGGAAGATATACAATTAGTAGTTTTAATGAAATGTTCTAAAATAATTAAACTGTATATCATAAAATTTTTTGTAAAGAACAAAGCTAATTCTGTAAGAGCACACCGTCTTAGCAAATCTTTGTCCGAAAATTCGTTTGAATCAAACGACAAGGCCTCTGTTGAACCAGGAAAATCTTATAGACAAGACTCACATGGCTCAAGTAACTTCGATTTAAATATTTTAACAAATTTCCACCCGATCTCAAAATCATTAACAGAGGAAAGCCTTCCTAAACCAGAAAATAGGATTAACGATTCCATAAAACAATATCAAAACATAAAAGCGCCTGAAATGGATGATTATGAAAAACAGGATGAACAAAGTTCAAATTTTGATTACCCCGACTTTCTCGATTCAGCGGCCAGTGTTATTCAATCTGCCTTTAAAAGCTTTCTGACCAAAAAAAGGAAAAGTTTAGCAGAACCGATCTCGCCTGTCGCTAGCACAAGCAGTCCTTCAACGCCTTCGAACATACTTAATGAATATATGGAATCCCAATCTAACAATATAAAGTCTAATTTAAACCCACCATTTATTAAACAAAATTCCCGTACAAATGAAGATGTAACTCTCTTATAATTAGTTGGCAACTTTTAAACCTATTTTATTATTTAATAAACTTATTTTATTTGCTTAACTTTTAACAAATAATTTTTACATCGCTTGGACGCAAATCATGACATTTACATATATTCTTTATTATTATCTAAGTCAAATTTATGTGATATTTAATTAACAAAATATTCGATTTCATTTTTTTCCCTATAATTTAATCTAATTTTTTTTGTTTTAAATTGTCATTTATATATTTGTGTATATTTATAAATTAGATAAAATATTAATTAACTTCAAATAAATCGTATAGATTAAATAAGATTTAATCGATGATAATTCACCTCGAATTCGTTATTTCTGCATCTAAAAATTTAAGTGTCAGGGAAATGAAAATCCTTAAAAATTATTTTAAATCATGGCCGTTATTTAGTGTAGAACAAGATTCCAAATAATAGTTTCAATTTGCCTGCCATTGATCCCAATAATTTTCAAATTTATTGTATTTGTTGAAAAGCTTTATGAACAGAACGGACATATTGTAGTATACAATATAATGAATAAAAGAGTAATAGAATTTATATTATTAAAAATATATAGGGGACAATATGATTGGTAGGAGTATTACATTACAAATATACGTTGCGATGTCATTTTTGAAATAATCATATATAACGTTATAAATAAATAAAAAACTTAGTTTACAACTAGTTTAAATTACTTTTTATTATACATCTATAACATTTTATCATAAACAGAAATGTTAGTGAATATTATTCTTCTGTGATATATGATATTAAAAGTAATTCGGTATATAATAAAATTAATTTAAATAATATGTTTTAATACATTTACAAAAACATTATTATATGTAGTTACGAGGAGGAACAAGTCGTTTTTCGCTAAATATGTGATTCCACGTTTAGAGATAGATTTGTAAAAAAATGTAGCAAGATCAACCACCAACACATGCTAAATATATATTTTGTTAATGATGTAATCTTATTTAAAAAATGTTTTAAATTTATTCTAATGAAAATTTATTTTTTTCTCTTTAATTTTGTTTTGCATATTTAAATTTTTTCTAATGCCATATGTATGCCCATCTTAGATAATAAATTAACTTATTTTTCCATTATAAACAAACTCTGGCTAATTATAATTTCATTTCTTTGACAATGATAGGCCTATTTTTATTTCGGTCGGTGACTGAAGTTTTTTGCGTTCTTATAACTTTCCACAAAGGCATAAAAGATGATCAGATTAACCGGTCTCACCCCCTTTATAAAATAAAATTTTAAGAGATATCCTTTCAAAATCCTCGTCTAGGCTGAGTAATCCAATCGTCTGGACCCCTCCCCCTCCAACATTCCCTTTTTTAAAAGCCAGATGGTACTGTACAACTGGGTGGGAACATGAAAAATCTAAACATGTGATTTTTCTTATGTATATATTTTTAAACCAAATCTCATACTTGCTATCACTGGAAGTCAACAGGAGGTCAAAGCGTTCCTATTCACCTCATAATAACTATTTTATTCCAGTGATAGCAAGTACACTTTGCCATCTTTTCAGAGTCTTGTACTTCTGAGTTCATCATTTCAAACTTTATAAATCAAGTTTAGAAAATCCCCTTTAGAATCCAAATTAAAATTAACAAGATGAGACTCATTTGTCATGCATACACCCCCCCCCCCCAATTTTCACATAGTTCATTATTTTTAATTACATATTTGTTATTTTGCCTTTAAAATTGTTTTAAGTTAATTTTTAAAAATATAAATTCGTAAATTAAAATTGATGATAATAATTAATTTATTTGTTAAATCACTTTTATTATAAAATATTTAAGTTTTATTAAAACCGGAAAGAGCCTCAGAAGCATAATATTTGACGTCAAAATCTGTATCTTGAGCCAATTTATCCAAGCAAGGTTTGACTTGATTTTGCATGGTGCTAGTATTAAGAAATATAATTTTTTTTATAATATCATGAGAGGAGTAATCCTTAGAAAAAAGTGAATCAGTTTATTTTCTTCTATAAACATTTATAATAATTGACAGGTTTCCAAAATAATATAATTGGGTATCATGTGATCAAGTGTCCCTGAGCGTTTTAAGAATACATAAACTCGAAAATCGATAATAACCAAATATCTTGTTAAATTTTAAGTATCAATTTTATAAACATAAATATATTTTTAAATACTCGGGCTGGATAGATGAGTGAATCTTCTGAAAAGTCTTGGCCACATTGAAACGTACGTTAGCCACTTTGTCAGTTGATAATTGAAGGCAAAGGGGAACTAAATTTTTGCCCACAAAATCGGCATCTAAAGAGGAGGCTAGGACCTATAAAAATATATAAAAATTTTATATATTTTTTCACACTTCGGTTTAAATCTTTGTGCCGGTTATGAGAAAAATCTCCAGGCTTGCATAATAATTATTGGTTAAAATATTGGGTCAGCCGTTTTTTAAAAATCGAGCTGTTTAACAACACTATAATTATAGGCAAAGATATTGTGAGTTTTATAAATGTTCATGGATATATGCAATTTTTTTACATTCTTGCAGCAAAAAGGTACATTAAATTTTTTTAACACATATATTTTTTAATTTTAGAAGGATAATAATCATTTATAAGTATTCACCATTGGAAATCAATTAAAACTTAAAGTATCAGCGGATACTGATAAGACTGCTACCAACATTGAAATAAAAATTATATTAGGCTTAAAAGATAACAAGTTCCTGAATGGTTATAATATGTGGAAAGATGAAAAGTCCTCAGGTGCAATTGCAACATCGGACCAAGGTATAGTATGACCGTTGTCAATAGCCGCGAATGACTTAGTTCAGAAAATTCACTTCCTCGTAAGTTATTATATTCAATAAAAAAATATTGATTATTTTTTAATACAGTGATATCTTTGAGTTGTTGATAAAGTAATTGTCCCACCTACTTTTCTTCTTCTCAATAATCCTGTTAGGTTCTTGAATTACAAAAATTATTGCCAAATACATGTTAAATTTACCATTTTCACCCATTTTATAAATATCACCTGGCAAATAACTTGTCATTTATTTCATATTAAGATAAATTACTCTGGTTAAAGTTATGGCTTCTAGTGTTTTTAATGTTATAATTTTAAGATAATTTTGTTGGATATCATATATATATATAATATTATTAAATTAATTTTTTTTTAAAATTACATTTATAGCGAACAAAGCCGTCATCCTATGTAGATAATTCTTATCCTGGGCCAAGGCGTTAAGCTTGGGCAAAATGGCCGTCTGAGCCCATTCTTTCCCGAAATTTTCGACCAAATTTTTAAGATTTTGAGTGGCAGCTTCCCTTATGGCATATACTTTTTTTAAAATGACATATAGACGCGTGCAAAATTTTGAAAATACAATGAAAAATCGATAATAAATTTTTAAAAAATAAGTGTATATTTTCTTATAAAAATGACCTTAAGCTTATTCCTTTTTTTTTAATTTAAGAAAAGAAAGCACTTAAATCAATTATTTGTTTTAAAAAAATCCATTCAAGTAATAAATCAAATTTGTATGCATATACCATGGTCAACGAGCCAAGACATAGAAAGATTGTTTAACTTTTCGTCGAAAAACTCTTTACCCTAAAAATAAATATGAGAATATTGTGTCAATTTTTTCATAAATGTTTAGCTGGTGCTGCAATCAGGGTTGGTTCAGGAATTTTAAACTCCATTTCACGAAAATTTTGATAACAGGAACTTAATCGAAACCGATCTTCTAAAAGGAGTCCGAAGGTCCATATTACCATGGGTTAAATGGGTTGCTCATAAATTGGTCTCTACTTGGTCTGTGGTCTCAAAATTCCCAAACAATTTTAAATTTCTTAACCCGAATTCGGATTCACAACCCTGTCTGCAATTATACTTTGGCAGTTATAATCAAATCTAAATTATTACAAATTTTCTTTAGAATATATCTCTTTTCTAGGGTTCTGGACCCTAACAGCAATATCTGGAAAACCAGTCAAACCCGGGGAATTTCGGACCGAAACGGGTTTAAACCCACTTTAAAAAAAATCGGACAAAATTACTGGAATATTTAAAATTATTGAACACTGAAATTACAAAAATCATTGGATAATTTAAAAAAAAATTATTGTTTTGATTTTTTTTCCTTTATAATAATTAAGAAAATTCAGCAATTATTTTGAAATTTTAAAAAGGCTTAAAAATAATTTTAGTATCATGCAGACCCCTAAATTTTTAAAAACGTTACTTCTTAAAATCTATTAGCAATTTTGATCTAGGTTTTTTCCCAGTAGTTGAATGATTTTATGTAAAGTAAAGGGAGTGCAAAATTAATTTTTGGGTTTAACTAGATTTGTTAGGATTAATCTTTTAAGAGCGATGGGTCTGTGTTATTTTCCCAACCAAATAATTGACCTAAATTTTTAAAAATCAATAATTAATTCTATTATTACTTTACAGTTTGAACATCTTAATTCTGATAAAATTTTGCATAATGAGAAGAAATCGTTAGAAAGCATCGATTCAACCTCCTAGTACTTAATAGTTACTGAAATTTCAGTGATCAAAAATGACCCTTTCGAAAAATATGATTTATAAAAGATTTAAATTGGTTAAAAAAAATTATGAAGTTAAAATAAAAATTATGCTCTACAAGGCCTTTTAATATATTAAAGATCCTTTTATATAATAATAGTGTAGTTTTATTTACGTTATGAATTTTGAACATAAAAAGCTTCATGTGTTTTGCCATCCGAATTTCTTTTAATTTAAAATTGGGATAGTCATAGGTGGTTATTGTGATCTTTTTTAAAGTATGAAAAAATATTAAATTCAAAGAAATTCGGAAAGCTTAAATAATTTACATATTTTTTTAAAATGGCGGTTAAAAATTTGTAATTAATTTTTAAAAATTTTGGTATAATTTTTTCCCCACAAATTTCAGATATTTTGAAGAGAATACCAAGAACTGTTCATATAAAAATTTTCAGAGTGGTAAAAAAAATGCTTAAAATAAAATTACCGCTAATAATTTTAATTAGCCTAAAATTTAAAATATAATATATTTGTAATATCTCACTAAATTTCATTTAAAATAATTTAGTAATCATCTTTCCCACGCTTAAAGAATCAAAAATTCAAAACTTTATTGAAAAACATAACATGTGATAAGCCTTTTTCAGTGGAAAATAAAAATATGTGGTCAAAAGATTAATTTTTATTTTTAAATTTTTCATAATTAACATTTTTTGTCCTCTTTCAAAGTTTGAAAACTACTTTTTAAACAATTTTTGGATCCAACCTTATAAAAAAACTAGTTCTATATAGTTATAATAATTATCAATGCTAAATTCATAAGTAATTGATAGAACAAATTAAAATCGCTAGTGTTTATTTTTGGTCATGCATTTATTTGCTTGATTCCTATGATGTGTATTATAAGCCTATGGCTAGGACCAAAATATATGGCCCAAAATGGAAAAACCGTTAAACATTCAAAATTTTATATCCTGGGAATTTAAATTGATTGTGTTATTTTTTTGAATTTTATGATAATTTTTAAAGCATAAAAATGGAAATGAGTAGGTCATTAGGTTAAAATTAAAAATTATATTATAATCCAAATTATGATAGTAAGAAATTTGTGATATAGATACCAAATGGTTAGCGAGCAATGGCATATGTTCAACTATAGCAAGCCTAACTCTCCACTTCGTATCCTCCGCCAATTCGACCACAGCTGGCAACAATGATTGAGTCAATTGTTTAACTCCTATAACCTGAATATGTATACAAATTATTATATCAAGCTGGCTATTACAGATGTCTAAAATTAAAATTCAAGTCTTTTTAATAAATCATAAGAAAAATACTTATTAGTGCCTCGTTTCGGTATAGAACCTATTTTATCAGGTCCAGCCCAAGAAAAGTTTTTGTCCATTGACAAAATATTTCCAATCTCACAGTTAAAATAAAATTTAAGTCAACCCACCCCCCTCCTCCCAGTAAAAAATAATTAATATATACCCAATATAGGAAAATAAGAAAGTAACGTTGTTAAAAATTACTTTCGAAAAGTAACTCGATGCCGTTACAAGTTACATTAATAAAAAGGTTATCAATTACAAAGAAAATTTTAAAAAATTTTACATAACTTACCATTTTTAATTATAATCCCTTTATTTAACAAAATTATTTTGCGAATTAAGGAAATTAAATTAAATAAAGAATTGATTGCATTGGAAAAAATATTATGAACAACAAATTATTTAAGAATAATAAATTTAAAGTACTCATGCCAATTATCCTTTTTTGAAAATCGAATGCTACTAAGTTAGGACTATGCCATTTCTTTTGAATTTATAATTTTTTTATATCATAATATAAAATGTTGAGTAGAAATAGAGATATATCAAATATTAAATAATTAAGCAATTTATTTAAATAATCAGATATATAATCAATTATACTATAATATTGATAGATATAATTTTAAGGAAAAACAAAAATGGTCTATATAAACTTAACATGTTTAATATTACTAAAATAAGAATATTAACATATATATATGCGGCCAGAAAATTTTCCGTTGTAGGAATGCTCTCTTAGAGATCCCCCCATAAACCCTCAATACTTTGAGCATGAGTCAATCTATCCTCTGGCTTTATAAAGTTCTTATTGTGATTGATCGAGTAATGATCATATCCATTCTGAATAAGATTGTTATAATCTGAAAAAATATTAAATTTTAAGATTTATCAATATTTAATTTATTCCTTCCATTTGTCTGTCATTATAGATGAAATCTTGAAGGGTCTTTTATTTCTTTTTTTAGAGTCAGCTATAAATAATTTACCATCATTTCTATTTGATTCCAAATCCTCCTAGTGTTATTTTTTTTTTAAATATGGGATCTATATATTTTGATCATATGTCCAGGGCCCCCTATTTTTCAAAAGAGATGACCTGTGTATGGCAGCAAATTTTACTATTATCTAAAAAAACCTATTGACATATTTTATAGATATATTTTACTATTTTCCAAAAGTAATTTGTGCCAACCGTATTAAACTAAAAAGTCACTATAGAAGTTACAATTTCATGCTATTATGGCAACAAGTGTGATTAATATGAAAATCACGATCTTTTAAAAACCATGGTTCTTCTATATGAAATTACGATCACGATAAAATTTATAAAGTAAAGGGTCCTGGACATGTGATCATAGATGAATTCCATATTTTTAAAAGAAAAAATAATACAGGGAGGATTTTAAAATCAATTGTCATTTGGGTTGTAGGTGGGATATCATGGAACGATGGGAAATATTTTATAGCTGAAACTGAAAAAAGAGATAGAGACCCTTCTGCATATAATCAGTAAGCATGTACATACAGATTCCACTATAATGACGGACAAATGGAAGGGGTAAATTAAATATTCATAAATCTTAAAATTTAATATTTTCTCAAATTATAACAATCTTATTGAAAGTGGATATGGTCATTACTCAGTTAATCACAACAAAAACTTTATAAACTCAAATGGTTAGATAGACCCATACTCAAAGTATTGAGCGTTTATGGAGAGATTTTAATGCGAGTATCCTTAAAACAGGAAAAAAATCATCTTGTCACTTATACATATATGTCAATATTCTTATTTTCGTAATAATAAACATAAATCAAATTTAAATAAATAAATTAAATTTTTAAATTATATAAATTTATATATAACGATTTTTGTTTTTCCTTAAAATTATATCTATCTATATTATAATTATCATGATTATTCAAATAAATTGCTTAATTATTTAGTATTTTATTTTAGGAGTTAAAAAGAAATGGCATAATCCTAACTTAGTGGCATCTAATATAATACGCCTGTCTTTTATGAAACTCTAAATCATTATAACTTCAAAAAACCATTAATAACCACATTCAATGCCTTACCAATTAGTTGATTCGTACAAAAAAGAATAGGAAAAATATAATTATGTGATTCATACAAAAATGTTAAATTATTTGATTGAAGTTTCTGGAAGCCTATTTTTATAATTAATAAACAGTAATTTTAAATTGAGGAAAATCATCATAAAAAGATAGTGAGTGATACTAAGGTAAATATTTAATAATATTGTTAATAAGTATGAAAATTTTTTGGGGTTACCAAAATATCTATATTACACAATAAATTAATTGCATGTGTTAGCGGTGATAGTTTTCATAATTATATTTTATGAGATTTTAGTTTGGTAAAAAAAAAAGTGTTAAGAAATTATATGAAGTGAGATGTGAATTATGTTTTAAGATAGGGCATAAAACTGAAGTGCGTGTAATGAAACGTTTTAATATAGTAAAGTGTTTTAGATGGGGCCATACTGAACATTTAAGTTATAAAACCAGGGCCATAGTCACGGGGGTTGGGGGCAAGATATAGGAAAGAATGAGAATTGATAAGTTAGTGTTGTTAAACGGCTCGTTTGGAGCCAATTTTTAAAAACGGCTAACTCATATCTTAGTCAGATAAGCCTCAAGATTTCGTTAATATACTTTTAGACCTTTGTGCGTTGTATGACTAACTCTTCATGCTTGCAATTTTTCTGAATAAAATACTGAGTTAGCCGTTTTTGAAAATCGGCCCAAAACTGACTGATTAACAACACTAGTCAAGGTCATATGTAGAAAGAGATGACCAATTGATATATGAAAATAGGGATAGTGATTTAGGAAAAGGAACAGGATAAGCAAGAAAATAGTGCCGACCAAAAGATTAGTTGAGCAGGAGATTGGCTGCTTAGAGAATAGAGTAGAACAGTAAGGCCAAAGAAGCCAAAAACAATAAATTGGGAGGTGATAAAAGAGGCGATTTGGCAAGATCTATAAATGATAAGAGTGAAATGTAGTTTAAAAGAACAAAAAAAGAAGTTGAACCTGGTAGAAGAAAATGTTTTGCGAGTACTTAAGTCTCTAAGGGGTGTAGTGTAGGAAATTTTGCGTGGTAGAGAAAATGAATAAAGAGTCTAGGGAATATATATATGGTGCGTCCATGAATACAAATTATGAGTAGCACGGATTTATGAGACATGTAATTTGTGGGAATTGTATCGGGCAAAAATAAAGAAGATATATGGGAAAAAGAGCACCATGGTGGTGATAAACCAAATTTATGCATAAAATTAATAACATAATTTTAATCAGAACCTTTAAAAAGTTTATTTAAAAAAAACAGATCCATTAATCTCAAAATTCAAAATATGACTATAGACTTCTATATGTTCAACTTAACAATTGTTTATAACAAACCGATTTATTTCAATTTCTATTCGTCTATCTATAATAATATGACGTATCAGGTAATTAAAAAAATGATTAAACTTTATTAGTAAATTTCAAACCCTAACCCATATATTTCAAGCCTTTAAATAGCCCAAACCCAGAACTCTCTACTCTAACCTTTAATTCAATTCCTTACTTCAGATATTAACATATTTCATCTAATTAAAGAAAATTCTTCCGTTGATATTCCTTACATCAGATATTATTTAATCATAAATATATTTTATCTAATACATTCCTTAATTTGTGCCATTATCAAACTAGACCTATCACCCATGATGCAAATTATAACCAGTAAATGAAGAAGAAAAAAAGTGATTAAAATATAGATGAAAATTAAAATATTTTTATTTTGATGGAGGATCATAAAAGATCAAATATTAGTTGTGAAATTGAATAATACACAGAAACTGGAGCCTTGATCACAAAAAAGTAAAACACTTTGGAATAATAATCATTAAGTTTAAAATAAGTAATAGGGAATAAAAGGTATGATATAATATGATCTGGTAATAGTACAGATCTTCCCTCTATGGATCCTGCTGGTTCCTTATTTTATATATATTGAGGGCATTTATTTTAAATAAAAGATTTATAAATCAATAAATTTCCTTTACAATTTTTTTTGTATAAAAATATATCACATAAATATAAAATGTAGCATACAACACAAAAAAAAATCATCTTTAAGAAGAAAGAAAGATTGAATGATGTCGATTAATATATTTATTCCACTCTGAAGATATACTAATAAACTTTAATTGAATTAAATTTTTATTTTACATTAAAGAGTTAATAAATATTTTTTTAAAATCCAGAACCAAAATGGATCAAAAAAATATGCCGGGACATCTCAAAATATAGGAGGAATTCGTATTAATATTGTCATTACAAAGTTCTTATGCATCAAGAATCGGTAGTCGAATCCCATCCAATTGGTGTTTTTAAATCAATCAACATTTTCCCAATAAGGCTATGGCTATGATTTTAGCCTAAAAAATTGATTTAAACCTTTAAACTCAACAAAATGATTAAGACAAATTATTAGGATAAAAACTTGGCTAAGCTACAGTGTCAAACCTAACTACAAACGCAAATTAAAATATTATAAGTTTTCGAGCTATAACACCATCATTATAAGAAAATTTTGGGAAAGAACTGAAAAGTTATATAATATCTTCGAACCAGTTTTAACCGTTTTATAACGGTTTTTTAAATTATATTTATTTATTTTAAATGATTGGCATAATTCAAAACAATTTTTAAATATATTAATAAAAATTCATGTGGTTATGTTACTTTTTATGCAAATTTTATAGTAAATTAAGGAATTCTTTAATTTTCAATAATTTAAAACTTGTAAAACCAGAACGATCTGATATGTATTATAAACTAGAACAAATATAAATTCGTTTAAAAATAGGAATGGAACTAATATGCTTATAATTTCAAACTTAAAACTTGAATGAAACCCAGCTGATATACCTATCGGTTTGAGCCCCACTTTAAATTAGTCAAAAAGTATAAGTATATTATACAAAACCAAATTATTTAGATGTATAAGAGTAAATATTAATGACATTTAAATATAATATAAAGATAATAATTAGTTAATATAGCAAAAATAAATAAACAAATTATTATGAGAGAAATAGTCAAAGGAATCAAAACTGGTAACATTTAAAAATAAAACCTTATTGACGGATTCGATGTTGGATATAATGTTGAGTCTGACTTCCGGGCATTCGTCCTTCAGCTGAGCCAAGAATAAAGGCAACAGATGTTCTATAGTGCTGTTTTTGTGTGTAAAAATTAAATTATCTAATATTTTACCAATCCTTTGTATTGGGCTGCATGCATCCTAACATGACTTCTCCTCTTTTTCAAGTCAACATTTGACTTGTATTCTAATTTTAAGAGATAAGAAGTCAGATTTTAGCTTGAAAAAAAGTCATAACTAGAATGCAAGAACCTTCTTTTAATCCTTATCTTTTATGTTATAAAATAAAAATAATAATGAAAGAATAATCTTATTAAAGCTTCAAGAGAAGTGTATTCGTTTTCCCATAATAATTTTGTTGGTGCCAAAAAAACATTGACAGGAAATCATAAAGGATACATTTAAAAACCTTGAGAGATTTCTTATAATATACATATTTTTTAATTTTTTCCTTAAAACCAGTCACGTGCATAGAGCATGCTTAATATTTATTTATAATGAGAAAAATTTTGTTCAATATTTTTTAAAAAAATCCTAAACTGTTCTTTCCCAAGGATGGGAGCCAATCCCATTATAACAGAAGCAAGGGCTGTTTTAACTGCAGTATGTGGATCATTAACTAATTCTTGTATGCAAGGTATGACTTGACTTATCACAAACGTCTCTCTTTCGGCTGGGTCAATGTTTTGACAAAAATCTGCGAAATTAAAGACGTTTTAAAAATCATTTATATAAAAAAGGGTAATATAAAATAAATTGACATCATAATTATTGTTAGTCTAATTTTGATCTTTTTGTTCTCTAAATAATACAATTAAAGTGGTCGCTTTTTATTATTATATAGTTATCTTTTTTCGTTTTAGTAATCTTTTTTCGTTTTAGTAATCTTTTTTATAATTATTATTCATATTATCTGAACTGTTTTTTAGTTATTAAATTATTAAATTTAATGAAAACCTTTTATTTGATTAGTGGCTGAGGCTCTGACCTCAGTTTCACCATCTTTAATCAGATTCAAAAATAGAGGGGTTATGCTATTCAAACCACTACTTGCATTAATGTGACACTCTTCCGAACCTTTTGGCTTAGAACCAGTCTCAGCACCTATATGCATAATTAAGAAATATTTAGAAATTCTTATTGAATCAGTTATTTTTTTAAAAAATTAATCTAAACGAATCTAGTTCATATTATGAAGGCTAGAGTGAAACTTTTTTAAATGAATGAACCTAATTCCTAAAATTAATAATAAAAAAAACCTGAAATAGGAAAGCCAGAAAGAGCCTTCTGAATGTCAGTTATCTTATCGGCAGCCACGTACCTCACCCTCCAACTTTTATCATCGCAGGCTTGCTTAAGCAAGGGAACCACAAGCTTGTCCCGATCTGCAGGGCTGAGCAAGCCAGCCACCACCAGGCTAGGCTCTACAGTTAACAATCGCACTGAATCCTTTATATTATAAAGTATATATTAAGAATATGGAATCAAGCATCAAATAAGGAAAACTAATAGTAATTCCATTATAAATCGAATGAAAAGTGATTTTCAAACAACCATTTTTTAAATGGATAAATCTTGTCATGGAGCTTAAACAGATTGTATATTTTATACAAATTAAAATTATAATGTTCTAGTTATAAACCTAATGAGAGCTATTCTTTTTACAAATCTCAAATTACTAGGGTTGGCAAAAATCTGATTTAAACCAAATAAAAATAAAATTTTAATTGAAGAATTATGGTCTAAGATTGTAAAATATTGTTTTTTTAAATTTCAGTTTAATATTATCTTGCAAATAAAAAACTAATGCTAATGGGAACAAGTCAGGAAATTGTTGAAAAATTAAATAATGATTTATGTTGTAATATTTTTCCAAATAAATAGCAGCAGTCTTAAATATATTTAATGTCATAAAGATTCAAATAGGCCATTGTATTTATCTTCATATTAATAGCAAACTCTTTGTTTTATAGCTCTGTTTTTCCTTTTATAATATTAACATTTTTAATCATAAAAAGGTAACCTGATCATCTTGTGATAATGCAGTAAGTATTGGTATAATATCTGTTGTCAAGAACTCCGGTTCTATAACTTTAGCAAATTCACTTAATTTTCCTGCTGCAGCTCTTCTAACCATTGGTGTGTCATCAGATGCTAGAGATCTAAAATTTCTAAATATAATATAATTTTATTATCATGAAAAATGATCTTTACAGTCTTAATTCTGTTTTAGTAGTGGTTGAAACTTTAGGATATGTGCATGCATATAATCCACAACCAGATGTTCTTGATGTAAACCAATCTCCTATGATAATATTGTAAATTGTTTATAATATAAAATTACCTGTTGATAATCTCTTCACCAAAGGAACAAAATATGTTTCTAGAGCTTGAGGAGTATGTAAGGCTGCTAAAATTTTTAATGAGTCTACTGCCTTATCTCTAACAATAGTTTCTTCAACTGTGGCTAAGCCTTCTAGTGGTGGCTAAAAATATTATTGATAATATCAGTTATAAATTTAAATACCAAAAGGCATTGAACATATTCTGGACCACCAACAAGACTTGTGAATTGGCCCAATTGTTCTGCCAAAGCTAGTAAAACTTCATCTTCATCATATATAGCCTCTGTTATTTATTTCTAATATATTGTACGTTCATATAATTACCTGTCAAAAATGGGACCAACTCGCTTCTTGTTCGCTCTGGACCCAGAGCTAATGCTATAGTAGATAACTTTTTGATACTATTTAATCGACACTATTAGAAAATATATAAGTGATATTGAAAGGTAAACAAACTTGAACATCTTCATTTCTAAGCTCATCGATTAATACGGCTATTGGATATAATGAATCATCATTAAGATTAGGGTTAGTTGAACTAGTTTGATCGCTTTGTTGAATTTCGGCCATTTTAACAAATAGGATAAATTCTAATCAAAACAAATGTTACATCTACAAAATGTTAAGTAAAATAGAGGCATTTGATTATTACTTTACTAAGTTATAGATGTTTGTATATAAAATTCTAAATTTAATTTATTTTGATTGTGATTATAATTAACTATTCACAATATATATATTGTTCATATTTTTATTAAATATTTAATGTGGTATTTTTTTATTTATTTAATAGAATATAAATAAACAAATATCATCACAAAATGAATAAATTATATTTAAAAATTAAAATACTAGTAACGTAGAGATTTAAATTTTAACTACCATTAAATAATTTTTATGTTTAGTCAGCGCATACATCCAGTGTTGTTAAATGACCCGATTTTGGTCGATTTCATAAATGGCCCGTTTATGATTTTAGCCAAAATAATATTGTGTAAAGCTGAAGAAATTTCTCATATAAATGCTTTGACTATATTTGCCAAATCTCAAGGCATACATAATATTATTTTTATAAATTTTATTCAGAACCTTTTTAGAACCAAATCGGGCCTTTAACAGCACAATTTACATTGATAATATTCACTAAACTCTACCCTCCCCCTTCAAAGATCTATGCATATCACAGTTGATGGCGATATTTACACGTTATTAAATACAAGTTTTTAAATGGAATGGTAATCCTTTCATATATTGTAAAAAGTATATATAAATTATTAATATTCTTGTTCTACAAACTTTCAAAAAATTCTAAATGTAAGAGTGTTATTTTTTAAAATTAAATAAATAAAAAAACCTTTCCCTCATTTACGCTGGATGCTTTACAATGCTGGAGTATAAAGTTTACTACTAGGGAAGTAATTGAAAATCATTATTTTATATTAATCAAACCATACAAAAAATTAAGATTTATAAATAGGCATAATTCTATTTGTTTTTGAGTAAAGTTTCTATTGTTATTTTGAATATTAAATCTATCATATTCAATTGAATCATCGACTGAAAATGAGCTTTTTTTCATGGCATTAAACTGACTTCAAAATTTTATTTATATCCTAAAATCCTTTATCATTCCAAATATATTTTTTATTTGGGAACAATAATCATGACCAACAATATAGAGAATTAAAAAATTCACAATAGGGCCACTCATATTTTTCAAATTATAAATAGAAAAATTATAAAATGCATGTCATTGGTTCTGATCTCTTTTTTCAAGTTTTTAAAATAAATTTTGGTTTCCCTTTTTAATAATTAATTTATTCACATCAAAATTTCTAGAGCTAAATAATATTTTTAATACTATAATTGCAATTATTAGGCTTTTAAATAAATAAATTCTTCAAAAAAGAAAAAAAAATTTATTTAAAAAGATAAATATAAGATTACAATATAATAATTTTTATTCTTTTAGTTATTAAAAATATAAGCATTTATTTATTTGCTTCATAAATGTTTAATCTTTAAAAGTAAAATTGCATAAAACATTCATTTGCATGATTTTATACTTTATTTATTTAAAAAAGCGCTTTTTATTTGATACCCTAAAGCTTATATTTTTTAAAGTAATAAAAAAATTACACCAATATTAAATTGTTTGCGCATGATTTTCATAAATTATAATATAAAAAATAAGTATAAATTTTTTAAGGTAGTAAAAATATTATAACTTTTTTAACGTAAATATAAAATTATTTTTAACTTAATAAAGATAAAATTCATTATTTTTAAAACTGTCAGATTATTATTCATTTTTTTAACATTAATATAGTATTAAGATTATATTAATTTTATATAAGAAATTTTTTTGAAAAATATCAAGAAAGCAATACTTTTTTTGCTTCTTTTTCTTCTGGATGCATTAGTAAAGTAGATATATTGATTTGCAAGAATGTGATGTTGATAGAATGTCTAAACCTAAAATTATATTTAAGAATTATAGCATAAAATTATCCTGAAACCGAATCGATGCTAGCTTTTTATAAAAGGGGATGCAAAGAGGTCGTAATTTATATTTTTTAAGTGTCCTATATATATTTACTCCATTTATATGTTATTATATGGAGGGCTTCGCGCCTCCATACCTATGATGGGCCTTCGGTCTGTTTTAGTCACGCCCTCGGCAGGATTTATGGGCATAGATTTATATATTTTACAATAATTAATTATAATTTAACCGTTTCCTAATTGAACTGATATCCATTTTCTTTTAACAATAAATCTATCAATTCTAACTATAAAAATTTTTTAGATTGACAGGGGAATAAATTATTAATGTTTTGTGCAATTCATTAAATCTATTAAATGAGTCAAAAGTTATTCACATAATAAAAGTTGGACAAATAAATTCGAAATTTACAATGTCAATTTTTATTAAGCAGAACGCTATGGTGGTGGTAAGACTGGCACATCGTGTACTATGGAGAATATTTATTCTGTTGAAACACTAGTATTGAGCCGAGAAGACCGATCTGGCATCCATATAACAAATCCTCAACTATCCCGAGAAATAGGTATTTTACCAACTTCAGTGTGGATTAAAGGAAATAAATCCAGGATCTAACCAATGCAAATAGGATTGTCCGTCTGGTACCCAAACAACTTCTACGAAAATACCCTCAGAAGTTAGCTTATTTCATGTAAATCCACGGATGAAAAGCTGTTTACAGTAACTCCACCATATCTAAATAATAGTGTACGTTGCAGATTCAATGAGAAAAAAAAGATTTCCAGTAAATCGATTGCTTCGTATTCGTTCAATTATCTCTAAATGCGCCATGGTATGGTATCTAGTCTTGGCTACATAGAGTTCATCTTTATCAATTTTAATGGTTCATACTATCATGACGTATTAGTCGGTGGGCACCTAATGTATGCTATTAAAGAACGGTCGGGCAGAGCATTTTTTATATTCAGCAGGACAGTGCTCCAGCTTACCGAGCAAAAGAAATTGTGGATCTGCTTTCAATTGAAACTCTAAATTTTATTTCACCAAACTTTAAACCCCCCCCCTCACACTCTATAATTGCCCTAATTTTTGGTCAATTACAAGATATGAAACGTTCTTCAAGAACGTGTTTATCAAAAGCGCATTTGCGAGGTGTACAAACATGGAACAGAATGTATTAGAGCATGTAATAGTGCTATTGGCTTTTAAACATATGCTTGACAACATTTTACTCAAATTTATTTTATATGTTGATGTTATTATGTTTTTGTCTCAGTAAAGTTAATAAAAACTAAAAGATGAGTTTTTGAATTTTGGAGCAAATTTTGTTTTCCAAACTTTAATATAACTTTAGACCCAGCTTCTAGAATTTAATGAAATTTGCAGAAAAAATTGATAATCTTTTATCTCTCTCTCATAATCTATAAAATTTTATAGAATTTTATTGAGAATTGGCTTTTTGCCAAAGCAAAAAGGTTATCACTTCAATTGGGACACAATGTAAATGCATTTACTAATCATAATTAAAAAATATATTTTTCACAAGTTAGTACTTAGTTGCTTTTTCAGAATAAAATGGGACTATCACATGCGATTAAATGTGAAATATAACAAAACCTTTTTGTATATTCAAAAATTTGAATTTAAACAATTTAACTTATTTTATGTATTAGGTTTTATTTTATTTTGATATATAGGATCTATCAATTAAATAATCACTTATAAAATAATTTTAAATTGGTTAAATACTTATTTTTCAAATAATTTAACATCTTATGATTTCACACCATTTTAATTTTACATAAGGCGAAAGGAAGAATATTATATTAATAAAATGATTTTACCACATTGAAAATAATATTTATCTAAAATATTCCAAGATAGCTATTAAATTGATGATTATTTAAAAATTAAGTGCTATTTTCTAAGAAAAAAGGCTACTAATCCATTTTTCAAAATTGATTATAATTTTCAAGGAAAGCTTTAGAATCCAAAGAACCCAGTTAGCGACGCCCTTATCTAGAAATATGTTTAATTAAAAAAAATTATGATTATGAATGTGCAAATGGTCGATGTTTAGCAATATATAGATTAATAGGTCTATAGTAGTGTTGTTAAATGGCTCGTTTTAAGCCGATTTTTAAAAACGGCTAACTCAATATTTCGTCCAGAAAAATATTACTTAAGCCTCAAGATTTTGCTCATAGAAGGAACAAAGGTCTAGGCTTATATTATCGAAATCTCGAGACTTAGACAATATTTTTCTGGCTAAAATATTGAGTTAGCCGTTTTAAAAAATCGGCTCAAAATGAGCCGTTTAACAACACTAGTCTATAGTAAAATTATTAAATGAATTTGCCCTACTTCATCAATTTTTTGATAGATGGTAATAGAGTATTGATCATTTTTTTAAAATATATGAAGGGATTACCATTATAATCATAAACATGTAATTAATAATGTGATAACATAGCCGGCTAAATTTTTTTTAGGTGGATAGGTTATAGGTTTTTAATGGGGTTGATCCCTCTTCAAAAAATTTGTAAGCAATGCTTCATTCCACTCCTCCCCCCCCCCTCCCACCACCCTCGCTCATGTAAACGCTGTATTTTGGTATATACGTATTAAATAAATTTATTTGTAAAAAAATAATTTTAAAAGTAATTTGACATGTTGCTAGATACAGGATAATTCGAATATGAGATAAAAATATATAAATTACCATTATATATTTTAGTTAAATCTATGAGTAATCTAAGTGTTAAATATTGTTTTTATATTTGTTTACATTTTTGCCCTTAGGGTTATTTTTCTTATATTTTATTGTATGTTAATTTGTTTCGGTTTTAAAATACATGGGAAAAGACATAGGGCTTTTGTGTTTTCTTTTAATCGCGATTTTTTTTAAACTTGTGGACTATTTACTAAGGTTTTTTCATTTAATTATAAACTATATAGTACGAGATCGTCCCGAATCCAGGGTTATAATTAGAATGCAGGGAAGTATAGGAGGGTTTGTTTTATCCCCAATATGTAGGGTAAAACTACTGTTAATTAACTTTGAAAAATGATCCCTTTTTATGATTGAGCCAAAATAA